CATCCTCCGCCGCATACAGATGGGCATTGACCAGACGGTGCCCCTGATGGAGCGGCTCAACAGCCTGCTGCCGGAGGGCGAGAGGCTGGAGCCCTTCAGCATGAAGCCGGACCGAGAGCCCCAGCTGTAGAGCTGCTGCTCCCCTCCTGCTGGGCGGGGGTTCTGGGACAGAGCCCGGCACCGCCAATACCCTGAGGACATTGGGAACCAAAGTCATGTGATGTGACCAGCGCTCGAAGCTGGTTGGAGGTTTTGCTTGTCCCTGAAGCAGAGGTGAAGCGGTCCAGCTGGCCTGAAAATCTGACTTTGTCCTCCCCCTTTCCTCGGTGTCCTCCCTGTGCAGAGCGAACCACACTGGTTCTCAGTGATCACCGAAGTTGGAGCGTTCGAATTACTAAGATGTCGTTACAGAACTCTGCATCGGGAATTATTTTTATTTTGTTTAGTTTTTTTTTAAATTGAAAGTATATATTATCTAGTCTTGCTTATGGAGTGAAAATATGGAGAGAAGGGGAGAAATATTTTAAGCAGCTCTGTGTCCTCGATGCCTTTATGAAATTTTACTCAATAGGCTATCTGAGTTACGGGTTTACTGTAAACATAAAGAACTAATTTAATCCAGGTCTGAGTGTTGTTACTCTTCCTACCCTGACGATTTACATCATATCAGGTCTTTATCTGGGCACCCTCTTCCTGCCCTGGAGAAACACTGGTATTTTTGTCCTGTGCCAGGTTATGGTGTCCCTCGTATGTCGACATCGGAACTGAAGACGCCCTTTCTACACGTGTCCTCATCGGGTTCATCTCCCACCGATAACTGCTTTCCTTGATGCAGACAAAGTTTAGGTTTCTTTTCATTACATCAGCACTATCGTGTAAATGTCCATATAATTGCGGACCTAGTTCTGGTCTAAATTCTAATCCATTCATTTTTCTCTCCATACTGTTTCATGCTGTGTTTCATTTTTTCCATACTGTTTTAATATTATGATTTCACAATACATTTTAATATCTGATATGGCAAGACTAGGTCCCATCTACCCTGACTACTATTTTCCTATCTTTTTTTTTTTTTAATTTCAAACTGGAGAAAAGTTGGGAAAAAAAATAGAAGGAATACTCATGTTCCCTTTGTCTAGACTGGCAGGAAGTGGCATTTTTAAGCCATCGCCATCTTTGTCTCTTTTTGAGTTCCTGGAACCCAGGAACCAGCTCTGAACACAGGGACTTGCTTGTTGCTTTCTAAGAACAAAGGGCTGGTTGTCTACACAGCTATAAAAACAACTCAGGAATCAGGTGCCATTAACCTCCGCGCACTTAATGCAATTGACAAATAAAAGCACAGGACAAATAAAGTGAGATGCAGCTTGAGCCTGTGAAGCCAGAGCTGTCTCCCCGTTTCAGCAGTTAATGGTGTGAACGTGGCAGAAACATTCCTAGCGTGGCAGGAAGACCTCGGCTAGCCAGCTCTCCAGCCAACTCATTTTCTTCTCATAAAGAAGTTAGACAAAACATGGTATTAACTTAGTTTGGGGTCCTAAGTAGATAGGCTACTTATTACTGGGTAGCAGAGAAGAACAATAGGCAACTTCTATACGTTTTTAACGAATTCTAGTTAATATTTATGGTGTGTGGTTTTGCAGTGTTGTCTACTTGGCTAAGCTGAACTGTGTTCCCCAGAATTCATTTCCCTGTTCATTTCTGGGTAGGGTTGGCCACAAGAGAAATTTACATGAGATTTGTTAGTGGAAGTAAAGCCATAGCCGTGCTTATTGGCTGAAAGTCGCCGTAGGTCAGGCCCTGTTGCATCGCATGCACATTTTCAGGGATGTGCTGCACCTTCGGTGTGGGCAGCAGCTGGGCCCACAGCTCTGCCGGCTCCCATAGAATTCTCCAGATTTTCCAAGTCCTGGGCCAGGTATGCTCCTAGCTTCTCCTTCAGGTCATCTGCAGCAAGGAGGACGAAGGCTGAGAGACGAGGAGAGGCCAGCATAGGTCCCGGTGAGAGACAGATGCCGGGTGCAGCTTGTTGCTTGCAGGCTTCAGTTGTCCTGGCTCTCCCCCACTGCATATCCAGCTTCTTTCCCAACCACCTGCCCGGTGACTTCAGGTGACGGAGAAACAGCTGAGCCAGGACTCTTACTAGCTTCTGTAACTAATTGCTTAAGGTCAGTCTGTTTAACCACCCCCTTATTCTACATCATTCCTAGTGGTTCTTCTCTGATTGAACCCCAGCTGGTAAGATGGTATTACCAGTCCTTTCTCTCCTCAGTATTTTACTTTTTCCAGTGGATTCTGGGAATCTGAGTGATTTGCTATTTCAAGAGATAGTCATGCTAGATCTGTTGGTTAATGCCCAGTGACCTATCTGGATGTTATAGGATGTTTCAGGGATGGGGACACAGCCTGGAGTAGTCAAAGAGCCCTGGCTAGAAGTTTCCAGCCTTGATCTTTGGTGAGTCATTTAAATTTCCCTGAGCCTCAGTTTCCACCTCCCTGCGGCACGAGCTGGTCTGGATGGGCTCTCAAGCCCCTTCCAGCTCTAAGATTCCAAGTCTGCAATTGATCCTTCACTCTAGCAATGAGGAGGAGCATCTTTACCTGTTGTCTCTGAACAATGGCCTTAGGTTCTTCTGAGTTCTCAAGGGAGAGCTTCTGTCCTTCCTTTTGTCAATTTTACATTAGACAGGTGTCCGTGGCTCCCTTCTTTCAACAACCTGTTTTGCTTATCAGTCTATTCATCCATGTTTTTGACCACCACCAAGGAGGCCTCTACTGCAGTCTTGTTTCACCAGTTCAAGTGGAAGGCTGGTAGAAGCTCGCCTTTGCCCCTTGTGTTACGTACATACAAATTTACAATAAATGAATTGTGGGGTTAAGAGCAAGTGAGATTGTAGAGTTCATGAGCACCTTTATAATTTTACAGATTTCATGTCTTTCCCTCAAAAGTTGTATCATTCTCAGTAACTTATTTTATGTTCTCTGCCAGAGTAAATATTTGATGACATGAGATTTGCGGACTCCATACCCTGACATATAGGCGTGCACTCAAGAAACGAGGGATATTTTGGTAAAGTATTCGCTAGGTATTTCTTTGCTTTTTCCTCCAGTGTGTGAAAAAGGTACATTCTAGGTATTACACTTGTACCTGCCGTTTCCAAGGTTACCTAAACTTACGGCCCTGGGGGACTGACACAGGCCACCGGTTGTGTTGATTTGTAGAATTTACTTAGTTTCAGCATTTCCCCCAGCAAGTCCCAAAGCAAAACCAGTGATCTTCAGAAATGAGAGCTACGAGCAAATGTATTAAAAATCTAGAGATCCAGTGTTTGTCTTCCCAATTTGTTTACACCTCAGCTAAACCCAGATATAGAGTACTCAGTAGGAAATTACTGAAAATATACTAAAGATTGAAGGGGAGAGTGAACTGAAAATTTTTCTTCTGGTGGACTTTCTAGGTGCAAAATTGTTCTTAATCAAGAGAAGTAATTTTGCTTTTCTTTCCCCAACCCTGACTTCCATTCCTCTGGTGGAGTCCTCCTCCACATAGCGCTGCAGAGATGTCATCGTTGTTACTAACTGATAACAGCGCTGCATTTCTTGCCCCCACACAAGGCACATACCTTCCATTCCAATATCATCACTACCGAGGGGAAGGCTGACCAGGTAACTTGACCATTCACATCCTTCAGACCAAAAACAGCACTTTTTTGGCAACTAAATCTAGCTGCTCACTAGTGTAATGGGATCTCACGTGGTCCACTGGCGTGTGTGTCCGTTACTCTCAGGGATTTGCTCAGAGTCATCAGTGTCAGTGTAAGACCTGATGGAAGTTACTGATGCCTCCATTTTCTTCACCGATCAAGGAATACTGCCACTGCTACCTGTTATCACATGGTGAGGCATCATTTATGCCGGGAGCTTTTGTGAACCAAACACTTTTAATTCAGTCTCGGAAACTGTCATAATTCCCCAACTAGGGGGGACCCAGGCCACAGCTGAACTAACCCATCCAAGTGACCGTTTGCCTGTGACCCTGCTCCTGCGGGGCTGCCTTCTGCATGTCCCGTGGGAGAGCATTTCCAACTGACTCTTGTGTTTTAGCTGGAACCAAAGGCAAGAAACTTGTTTCTATATAAACCCAACTTGATGTCTCTCCACATAAACTGCAACACTGATTGATTTGTAAACATCCTCCGAGAGGGGGCTGTAATTTTCCGTTGATTTTGCAACACTTTAAAGCTATAACTGAGTATAATTATGCTGTACAAGAATGAATAGGCTCCACAGAATGCCAGAAATAACTTACTTCCTCTTCTACTTCTATAGATGCAGCAGAGTAACATTCAGAGGAAAGCACCTAGGCAAATTGGGTTTCCTACACATTTTTGTTTAGTGTCAGAAAGACAAAACCAGACAGGAGTATTTAAAATAAAACAACAGGGAAGTTTTGAGGGTAAAAGGTTCTGTCAGTCAGTCCCAGGATGTGCCTCTCCCCCTTCACATCCACACCTTCCCTCCCTGCCCTTACTCTAAGCCTGGTCTGATTGTAGTCGTGCAACCCAAACTAGTCCTCCAGCACCATGTGCTCAGCTGGCCTCTGCGCTAAGTAGTAACTGGCTCGACCCACAGCCCTTCCCAAGACCCGCCCCTTCTCCGAAGCCGCTCCTGCCGCTCCCGCCGCCTCTGCTCCCTTCGTTCTCCCACGCCCACCTCCAGATTTTTGCAAGGCGCTGGCCAACACAGCTCTCCTCGTCTTCGCTCACCCAGTCCAGTCCTGCTTGGACTGACTGCAACTCAGAAGCCTTTCCCAACCAACTTACATGCTATCACCTGTGATTCTTTTTATCGCCGTTATTCCATCTGCTTGCCCTGGAGGTAAATCCTTTATTCCTTTAACGCATAATTCTTTATTAACAAACTGACAAGTTCTAGTCTCACAAATCGTCATGTCCAATGTTACTTATAAGCAGAGAAGTCATGAAGATGTACATGGCAAGGATGGGGAACAGATCTTTAATAACTTTCCCTTGTTTTCCCTACAAGAATTATAAAACCATTTACATATTATATTAAAATGTACCACGAATATGTATCTGGTCTTTTTTCTTCTTACTCTGGACTTATTCTGGATTCAGTCACCAAATATTCACCAAGTGCCTTAAGTTTCTACAGCGTAGTGTGCATCTGGTAGACACAGGAAAGAATGAAGGCTGGCACTGAATTGTTAGCTAATGATCCCACGTTTCATGTGAATAACGGAGCACAATCTGATGACCTCAACACTTCTTTATTTTTTGTGAGGAAGACTGGCCCTAACATCTGTGCCAGTCTTCCTCTATTTTCTGTGTGGGACACCACCACAGCATGGCTTCATGAGCGGTGTGTAGGTCCATGCCTGGGATCCAAACCTGTGAACTCTGGGCCCCCAAAGCAGAGCATGTGAACTTAAGCACTACGCCACTGGGGCGGCCCTACACTTTATTTTGAGCTAAACTCTTTGCTGTGAGAGGAGCAGAACAGGTCCCACTACGGCCTCCTTTCACAACTTGGATGCTGCTGTTCCCAAGAAGTTTACAGCTGCAAAGAGAGGTCCTTTCTCATATTTATGTATAAACAGGTACCAGTTTTGATTTTATTTCATCATATTAACATACATGACACATCAAAATGAGAAATGCACAATTTAACCATTCAACAGCTTGCCTTATTCCCAAGGAACACTATATTCATATTAAACATTTGTACAGTCTTTCCACCTAACTTTACAAATGTCCTAAACCATTTTCCAGCATTTCTCACATAGAAGTCTAGTTTGCTCTTTAAAATCACCATTCTGTATCCTCCTAGCAGACTGCAGGGCCTCCCCTACGATTACGCGCCGAAGCGAGCTGCCCCACGTGGCCTGCGACGCCCGTCAGCTCCAGGCCGCTCTGAGGCCACCCCTTCCGCAGGTTGGTCTTCATTCTGAGAACTGATTGTTGGACGTTAGCAATCAAGGACTAAAGGCTGTAGTGTATGACTACATCACAGTCACAGGAAGGAAGGGGAGCGTGGCCGAGAGAAATCCCAAATGATGGGAGGCAAATTCCTGCCCAAAGATCTCGTGAAAACCACGTCCCCAACCCTCCCGAAACATACTAACATTGGAGCTATTGCTTTCACTTCTGAAACGTGTCTGACAGTTGTGACCAGACTCTGCAAACAGAGAGCTGTTAGCCATTTGGTGTGTGTACACATAACACATCAAAAATTGCTGTGTGAAACCGTGAGAATGTCTGATTACATCCAAAATTTAAATGTACACAGAAAAACCAACTCAGATCATTTAACAGTTTTTTCAGTAAGGTAACGATGCACTCAGTTACCCTTTTTCTGCCCCCCCTCACAGCATGTCACTTGTGCATAACCAGTTCAGTGAAGGTCATCGTCATGATCAAGTCAGTTTTGAATCACGTCATTCTGTGCTGGTTTTAGCAGTCACCATAGGAAACATTAAGTCACATCCTAGTCAAAGGACTGTCCATTTCTCAAACATAGAAAAACCTGAGATATGAGTCAGCAACTAGCTACACTTACAGTAAAGAACAAAGATAACCCCCCCCCACCCCCAAAGCTGCTGACGTGAGTGAAGGTTTCAGAAGAGGACCACACTGTTGAGAGAACTCAAGCCAGGAAGTTTAAAAGCAGATCTGTCCTGTCACTTGTGTACTGGTTCTAATCACCTCCTCTTTCAGCTGCCAGGACTGGTTCTGTACAGTGATTGTAGGTCAAGGGCTGAGCGGCCGTGGGCCCACTCCATTTTGCTATGTCCTTTCTACTAAGAAAGTGCTGGGGACGATTTCTGAGAATAGCTCAGCTGTGGCTTCCCACTCCGCTCACAGCGAAACACAGTCCAGCCGCTCTCTCCTTGCCTCCCACGCCGTTTGATTCTGCCCAGTCCCTGCTCACTCGGGCCCCCAGCCCCACCAGCGAGTCTGCAACTCTAAGGGAATCACAGGCACGCCACCCTCCTCGCGTGCTGAGGGGAAAGGAAACATCCAGAAAACAACAGCTCCCTGCTGCTCCTCAGCAATTTTACTTTCTTCAATCTTTCCTTCGTTTTTCTCCCTCTGGTAGTTTCCTATAAAATTCTACCTTATTGTCACATTTTTACAAAATGTATCTGTGCAGGGAAACAGAAATGGAAAACACCTACTGTGGCTGGGAACCTGGAGGTGCTGCTGTTCTGCTACCAAAAACTCACATCTGGCTTGAAACCAAGTTAATCTCTATTTAAAGGATTAACAATCCCATTTTGAACAATTCTCTGATTTATAAAGAGGGAAGTAAGACTTGTTTAGCCTCCCAACCTTAGCTTAAATCATTGCACTGCCAGATTCCTGGCTGTTAAACTGAATCCCAGATGGCTTCCCTTCTCTTTCTTCATAAAGCTGAGAAGAAGAAAGAAAAAGTGGACTCCCTCCATCCGGGCCCAGCTGGACATCTGTGCATGGACAGTTTAAATTGGTCTGACAAGCGGGACTAGCTCCCTACTGGTCACAATGCCTAGAACATGGGCTACCAGACGTGCGGTGGGAACGCCCCGACTTTCACTCTGAGGTACTGGTTTGCTCTAAACGCGACCTTGGCAAGGCCCCGCACGGTCCGTCCAGCAGAATGATGCTCGCGTCACTCGGCCGTCAGGTGAGCGGGAATTCGTTAGCTTTGGAATTGATCATTTCTCTTGGATTTACCATTAGGTTCTGTCCCTAAAAGGGTCTACCCACCTGACCCTCAAGCTGGCTCAGTCTCAGCGCTAAGGTGCACGATGGAAGGGACTGGACGAGGGCTAGCATTTGAGATTTCTTTGTAGCACAACAACTGGTAGGGGATTCTGTCTCCAACACCAAATAAAACTCGATTCACTAAGAACAAGAGGATGTGCAATTCACTGCATAAAATCGTTTCATCTATCTAGGGGAGAACCTGCCACGTGCCCTTCCACTTTGTTGAGAGAAATATGAGCGGATCTCTCAAATGCGGATGTTAAGAGAAAAACTGTTGATCCATCTTTTGCTTTTACACCATAGCTCCATTTTCCAAAAATATATATGTATGTACATATATATATTTCAGATTTACAGGGAATATTTTTTGTGAACAAGAAAAAAGCTGTCCATGGAAGTCACAGAGGCCGTCCTCTCAGGAGACCTCGATGATCTCCATGCTGCCTGAGAAGCTGGACTGGCTGCCCACCTTCCCCAGCTCTTCCCGCGACCTGTTCTCCGACATGAGGCTCTCTCCAAACTCCATCTGGCAGCTTCTGCGTTTAAACTGCTTTTCAAAGGGGCTCTCTTCGTGCCAGCTCCGCCGTGAGTCAGCTCGGTCGCTTGGCTTCTGCCGCCTGCGCACGGAATAGACCTGGTCGCTGCAGGTGGGCAGCTGGCTGCAGCTGTAGGCGGAGTAACTGGCGCTGCCCCCGTAGATGGCGGAGGCGGAGTAGAAGTGAGAGGACTCCGTGGCAAAATACCAACTGTTGGCCAGGGACGGGGTGGAGGTCTGGGGAGCCAGGATGTCCGAGTGCCAGCCCTTGAGGCCCAGCCCGGCGGCGGACTTTGCGAGGTGCTGCTGGCTGGTGGAAAGGCCGAAGAGGAAGTTAGTATGGTAGTTGTCCTCCACACTCCCGCTTCGATGCAGCGGAGACAAGAGGGACCTCTGGGTGGCACCACTGTTGCTGGTTCTTACTGAATGTGAGCGCTTGCTCTGGCTGTCTGAAGGCCTGGCGGTCTGAGGTTTCTTCGGGACGTTGGCTTCCTCCTTATCTGGGCTGGTTTCCGGAGTCTGCTCCGACACTTCCTCGACCGGAGAGAACTGGCATAGCTTGTTGGTCCCATCCAGAGTGGTGGAAGGTTTGTAGTATTCCAGAGCATCTTCTGATGAGGAGAAACCATGCAAGGATGCTGCCATACTGGCTGAGTACGACACGGATTTGATATCCAGAGAGAAGGAACGCTTGAGCTTATTGCTGTCTTCCAGCTTGTCTGAGGCCAGGTGGAGCCCGTTGAGCGCCTGTACCAGCGGGCTGTCCTCTAGCAGTGATGGCGGCACGCTGGGCACACTGGCAGGATGCACAGGCCGTTGCCCTGCTGCCTCTGAGGTAGCAGAGTTGGCACAGGGTGGACTGAGGGACAGGTCGCTTTTCGGTCCACCCTCTGAGGCTGCAGGGGCAGGGTCATTCGGCTTCTCCAGGTGCAGCAGCTTGAGTTTACTCTTTGGCCCTGATGCTCCAGTCTGGTTCTTAATCTTCTTCTCATAGTCCAGGAGTTGGCCCAGAAAATTGAAGTTTGGAGATATAGTAGGTCTTTTTTCTTTCACAAATCTATGAAGAGAGGAAAAAACAAAACAGTTCGAGTTTTACAACCATACTTTACCTGAACATTAAGTGAATAACTGAGACGAGGAATTATCAGCCCCTCCGCAGTACCTCTGGAAGCTGACTGGTTTACTCAGGGAGACAGCTCAAGGGGGAGAATACAGGGGCCTCTTCCTTGGGGGAGCTTTATAACATGTACCTAGGAAGAGGGGCCAGGTCCCCAAAAGCTCTCGTTTTAGCCCCCTTATTTTCAAGGACCCAAGGCTTCCAAAGCAATTGATAAGACATGATTCTTTCCTCACCAACAGGGACCGCCCCCACATTCCCACGGTGCCACCATCAGAAGCACAGCCTCACAGCCACTCTCCAGCTTCAACTTTCCAATACCATAACTCTCAAAGTCCCACAGTCACTTCCTCAAAACATTTCACATTCTTCATTAACGACCAGAAAACAGGGTATCGAGGGTCAGAGCATCAAAGCATACATTTCCAAGCTCCTTCTCTTTGTGACAGGACAGCCACAGCATGGTCTCCATGTGCTCAGCACTACGCCAACGCGTCAGAAACAGCAGTAGCTCATTCACTCCTCAACACTGCTCTACAGCAGGTGGGCAGAATTATCCCCGTCATCTAGGTACCCAAAGTCCTCAAGTGACTTGCCCCAAATCACACGGCTACTAAGTGATGGTGCTGAGATTCAAAACCAGGTCTAATGTCTGGGTCCATTTTTGTAACCACCATGTTAAAGCAGATTCATCAAGCGATCAAAACTTGTTACAAATGGCTTTTATGTTTCACTGCAGAAATAAAAACTGTTAGAGGCAGTAAATTCTTTAGTGGCCTCCGACCCTCGTGGATACTTCTCAGAAGATGCAGGAGTGAAACAACACTGGAAGTTTCTATTTGAATACAGAAAGAGAAAAATCAAAAATAAACTCTTTGGCAATCGAGTAACCTAAAGCAAATTAACAAAAACAGAAATAACGGGCTCAGCCATCACAAGTGTAAAGTAGGAAGGACCCTGCCCTATAAGAGGACGGCATAACACGACAGGAAGGTGCCTTCTCCTCTGGCTTCTACATGGTGCAAGAGGGCTTTAGAGAGGACAAGAGAACTGGTGCAGACAAACGGAGGACTCATCTCCTCAGTCTCCTTCCTCAAATGAGAGGCTGTTCAGGCAGCTCGTCCTTTTTCCACATTTTCCAATTTGAGAAAAAGTGCAGTAGTTACAACAGGCCTGCTGCATGAGCCTCCATTTAGCGATCCTTTAGCACACGAAAACTAACCACCTCTATCCAACAAGACGCGCAGAGGACTCACATCCACCAGTCACTAAACAGAACCCCAGTCCTTGGTGCTCTGGTCATCTGCCTCCCATCTTGAGAGGGAGGGCAACCCCGTCAAAACCACACGTGGCAACTGCAGAACGCAGGAAATTTTACTCGATGAATGGAGTTTGACGATTATTTGGTTTTAGACTTGCCTCTATTAGCTTCTTTCCTCCCAGTGAAAGAGACACCAGTTTGAGGCAAAGTAGAAACCCTATAAGGAGCATCCTCCAGGAGTTTTTTTCTCATGTAAATTAGAAGAAATGGTACTTCCTCAATTAGGGAAACATACAAACTCACGTAACAGGATAGAGATCTCTGTTTGGATTTGTTGTTCCTTAAACTTAATAAGGAGCTGAGGATGAATTTGACACACGTTAGGGTAGAATTAATGCTAAATTATAAAAATGCCTTCTCCGCTCTTTGAAAGACCATTTAAAAACCCACAGTTACAAGAGTATAACAAAAATCATCACCATCTGCTTTAATTTGGTTTGTCACCGTCATAGCGCTTCAGGTTTCAGGTGAAATGAAAAGCCAACCACAGAAGCATGTTCGCGTCCTCACCTGTAAGCTTCATCTAAGGACATGTCCATCCTCTTCATGATGTAGGCGATGGCGATGGTGGCGGAGCGGGAGATGCCAGCCAAGCAGTGCACGAGGACACACCCATTGGAGGCCTTTGCTTTCTCTGCACGAGTCAAATCCAAGAAGGGTCAGTAGTAAGGACTCTGTTCAGCAGTGAAATCTTGTTTCCATTTACTTACACAATGCCTTTCACCTGCCACCTCAAAGTAAATCTCACGTATTTACATCTTTTTCCTTTCAATATTCTTTTGCGGAGAGGAGGTAGTGGAAGATAATTCCCCCACTGTTTACATACAGGACAACGAGGGTCAAAATGTTAATAAGCCGTCTGTCCCTGACTCAGATCGCCTGACTCTTAGTCGGTACTTTTCATGTATTTTTTACATTATTTACTATTTTAGTAACTTCCCTGAGTATAAATCTTACATTGTGATTACATGATTCTACTTGTTTAGTGTAGAAAATTTCAGAAACACAGAAAAGTATAACGAAAATAACATCCCAAATCCTAAGATTTAGCTAATATTTCGTTTACCCATCACACTTCAACTTTTTTTAGTTATGTAGGAGATACTAGATTTTCCCGTTTTGAGCTATAATTGACACATAACATTGTATTATTTAGGTGTACAACATGATTTGATACATACAAGAGATATTAAATTTCCAAAAATATTTTTCCATTTCAAACATATGTGACATCCATTACTATTTAGAAAGCAGGGAGGTGGGGAGAGGGAGAGACAATCACAATGATACCACATCACGACACACAAAGATGCCAGATGCCAGGTCAAGCTCCTTTAAAATGCTGGCTCAGGGGCCGCCTGGTGGCGCAATGATTAAGTTCGCACGTTCCGCTTCAGCAGCCTGGGGTTCGCCAGTTCAGATCCTGGGTGCAGACCTATACACCACTTGTCAGGCCATGCTGTGACAGGTGTCCCACATATAAAGTAGAGGAAGATGGGCACGGATCTTAGCTCAGGGCCAGTCTTCCTCAGGAAACAGAGGAGGATTGGTGGCAGATGTTAGCTCAGGGCTAATCTTCCTCAAAAAAACAATAAAAAATAAATAAATAAAATTTTAAAAAATACTGGCTCGGGGCCAGCCCCATGGCATAGTGGTTAAGTTCAGTGCACTCTGCTTCAGTGGCCCAGGTTCGCAGATTCAGATCCCAGGCACAGACCTATAACACTCGTCAGCCATGCTGTGGCAGCAACCCACATATAAAGTGGAGAAAGACTTGCACAGTTGTTAGCTCAGGGCTAATCTTCCTCAGCAAAAAGGAAAAAAAAAAAGCCGGCTTAAAGAACCTATCTTCCTATAGTTTCCCTATTTTTCTTAGGAGACTTTTCTGTATGTCATAAACTGGCTCAACTGTATTTGCTGAATTTATGGAGAAAACCACGCATCTACCAAGAGTCAGGTTTAGTGGGTCACTTTCATGAAGACCAAGGAATCTGATCCCTTCCTTTATATCCAGGAGTTACTGTCTGATGGCAGCATGTTAATTCTCCAAAATGGTGGAAGGACTCATGGACGCTTTGTCAGAACCAAGAACCAAGGAAATGCAATCAGACAGGGCTGCCATCTCACTGCTGAGGAGCTTCCAAAGCTTTCTGGTGAGAGTGGATGAAGCTCTCTCACCAGCCTGGAAGCAACTCACATCGTAGCCAGTGCCGCCTGCCTCAGTTCTAAACAGTGATGTGTGCTCACCATGAGCTGCTGCCAGGGAGCTAACGTCTTCCGTTTCCATTCTTGTCTCAGTTGATATGACCACACCTTACGTCAAAATTCTTGTAATTAACGGATACCCAGGGAATCTGCTCCAGCTGCTGAATAATACAAAGCTACTCTAATCTCACCACCTCTGCTGTAAGTGCCACAAATTTCGAATGTATATGATTTATTAGTCACTATGTACAAAACACCTAGAGCTTTCAGACAGTATAGGAACAATCAAGCAGCTTCCTTTTAGATAGGGAAATGTAACACAGTAAAACAATAACAAACGAATACACAGTGACACTGAAACAAAGAAGTACGTACCATACACTATGATGTTACATAAACCTGTGTACACAGTCCCCTCCTTCCTTCCTGGGCCTACACAGTTCTCTTCCTTCTCTCAACTCTATAGTATTTAGCCTCTACTACTCTTGAGTATTTCCCCTTTTGCGTTGGCTGCTAAGAAGCTCAAAGCTATGGTTTTCACGCAATTTCACTAGGTAACTGTCATTCACAGATTTTACCGTATCTTTCCTAGCCCCATATTACTTGGTTCTTGCCCTTTTATCCCATTTTAATGTGTATGTGTGTGAATGTGTCTATCTTCTGATCCCCATCTCTTACTGTAAGCTGCTTCAAATTCTTATTGGAAGGAGGCTGGGTTTAATTTTTTTTAAATGTTGACAATATTCTCTATCTTTAGTAATTATCTCAAAACTTGACTATGAGGACTTGGAAGGGTCCTGCGTGTAAGCCCCCCACTGTGGGTGCACACTGGGTGCACGGTGAGTACCCAGTCAATACTGGCTGGCTGACCAATACCTATTTAAAAAAGCAAGCTTTATAAAAAAATTTAACAGAGGTTGGAGGAAATAAAATGATGATAACGGATGTGTTAGGATGTTCAGGCTATAGGTTTCTTTTTCTCTGTTTTTCAAATTTGCTGCCTCATACTTACACTGTTTTTACCATTAGAACTCTTTTGATGATGTGTTTTTAAAAATCTGATTAAAAAGCGCTTACACTGGAGTGGGGTTCATCAGAACAGACATCTTGGCAGAAGTGAGAGCTAAAGTGAGTCTTAAAGCAAAGGCAGCAACACCCAGAGACCTGGCGAGGGGAGAAGGGGACCGTGTGCAGGAGGGCCCTATGCTGGGACAGGACCAGGTGCACAGAGCAGCCTGCGGGGCTTGAGCTCGTGCCTGTGCGGCCAGGAACCCCTGAGAAGGCGGTGGGGGGTGGGCACGCAGGAGCTGGAGAGTCTGGGGATGTTGGGCTAAGGTCGCGTGGGCAATTAAGGAGCCTCTGCGGGGTCCTGAATAGAGGACAGCGAGGAGGCACTGACAGCGAAAACTGGACATCAGACAAGCAGGTTGCCACCGCAGCAATTCAGGGACAAAATCTAGGTTTCAAAAAAGGGAGAGAGGGCAACAAATGAAAAGGTAAGGGGAGCCAGCGTGGATGAGAAGTTACAAAGGCCGGAAGGAAGGGAGTCGTAACTGAGGGGGCAGTACAGCTCTAAGAAAAAGAAAAGGAACTTCTCAGATAATCTGTCAAACAGCTACTATTTAAGAACCAATGATGAGTCAGGCACTTGGCAAGGTGTTTTACGTATATTATCTATTTTAATCCTCACAATATCCCTACCAGGTAGACAGATTATCTTCAGTTCCCAAATCAGGAAACTGAGGCACGGAGACGTTTTAAGTAACTTACCCCAAATCACTTAACTAATAGCCAAGGAAGGTGGGACTCAAATACAGTTTGGCTCCAAAGTACACACTCTTAATGACCTCCCCATATGGCCCACACATGTGCACAGTCATGAGTGAGGGGTAGGTGAGGCGGGGCAGGAGCCAGGGGGACGGCAGGAGGGAGGAAAGCCCATATAGGTGGCCACCTGGGGCTGGGGGCACCTCGGGAGTGTCCTGTAGCACAAATAGGCAAACCGTGCTGACCACTGGCTACAGTGACTAAAAACAAAGATAAACGTCCAGGACAACCTGAGTCCTTCCAACAAACCCAGCAACTTATTTAAATTTAAGTAACAACAAAAATCACCCCCACAAGCCTCTAAGTTATTAGGTCCTGGTATGAGGGTCCGTCTTCACATGACATACTCTGCTGTGACCAACTGTGGCTTAAAACGCCCCGGAGGAGACTAGCAGCTACAGTGAGCATGGGCTGGATGCCACAAGTGGGCTGGGGATTTTGCCTGGAATTATTTGTGTGGGATAAAGACGGTGGTCCTAGTAAATAGGGCCAAGCAAGTGAAATATTTTCAGATGTTACAAATAAATCACAGTGTGTTTATGTGTGTGTATTTAACCAACTTGGAACATGGTAAAATTCCTTTTGTATGAATTAAAAGTGGCAGGGTGACCCCAATATCTCCCAAGAAAGAAGAACTTAAGTGGGGGGCAAAGTTATTCATATTCTCTCTTTTCACTAACCCTCCTAAAGCTTAGACATTGTCACGATTCAACAGAATCATGTTCTCTTCTAAATAGATTCTGAAAACGCACCTTCAGCTGAAATTAGAGCCACATGTCTGTACTGATGTGACACACAATGGGAACACTAACCATAATTGTTATCTTTTGAAGAGGCAAAAACTGAATGAGATGCTGAATATTTCCTAGAAGTACAATGGTGGGGGGATTAATTTGGGGAGGGTCGTGTGTGATTATTTTAATGTGAATTATCTAAGCCATTTATCTTCAGATGTTTCACAGAAAGCATCTTAACTAAAGATGAAAACTCTTGGCAATCTGGAATCTTGGGGAAAAAAAGAACTGTTTCAGAATGACCCAAAGTTCCAAAAATATCATCTAGAAAATTCCTCTCACAGATGAAAGAATATAGGGAGAGGCTTAATTTACATAACTTCACTTTTTAAAAGGAATTAATTCTTTTTTTTTAATTACAGTAACCAATTCAGAGTCTTTAATTATGGATTTGTGTGTTCACACTTATGTGACTAGGGGACAAAAACAACAAAAACCCCTCCCATGGAGCCCCAGGAGCCACACCTTGGTATGTTGCTCAGGGGCTAGAGAGGATTCTCCTCGGGAACCATGTTTCAAACGCGTGACCAAGTCACTACCAGCAGACCTGATCCTGCGGCACCACAATGTCACAACAGCATCTGAAGCTAAAAGTTGGGGAGGCTCAAGGAAATGAGCCTCTGTGTGTGTGGGGTGTGCGTGTGTGTGTGTGTGTGTGTGTGTGAGTGTGTGAGTGTTGGAATTTTATTAGATCCAATAACTACTTGAAATTATTGGCACATGGACTGAGGCTTAGAAATCTTGTGACATAAAGACTTGAAATGTAATGCGATTTGTTTTCACAGGCTTTGACTTTTCTCTGGGGAAAACATAGCAGCAAGGCAAAAACCATTTAAGGAATGCCACCAAAGTTCCCAAAGTCTTTCACAGAATTTGAACAAGTGGGTAAAAAATTCAACCCCAAAAGTTTAACTGATTTTCAAACACTTGCAGATAACATAATCACAGACCCCCTCAGGCTTAACCTTGAGAGTGTTCAGTGAGCTAGAATGTCACATGGCCAGGCCCTTAGGACGGCACGGCACACACACACGTCACCTTGGCAACTAACTGAGATAAGCAGCATCATGTGCTGTTTTCAGACTTCTGAAATCTCTGGGATAGGCTCCTTTTCTCTAAAGAGAAAGAAAGGGGAGGCAGGAAGGGGTGCACCTACACATGAGACCATAACCCAAAGGACCGTGGTATTACTTGAGCGACTTACCGATGAAATCTACGGATTTGTCCAACCACGGCAGGATCTTCTCACAGAAGCTGTCATTCACAGGCACTCGCAGGAAGTGCGACTCGGGGATGAAGTCGGGCTTGGGACAGGTGTTGCTGGCATTCAGCACATAGCCAATCCCATTCTGCTGCATCAGCTCCTACGGAGGGAACGAGCCAGGAAAGTGACTCACAGTCGACACTCTCCTCATAAAATACACGATCGTTGTGAAAGAATAAAGTTGGAACGTAATGATAAAAATTACTAGTTTCCTTGAAATAATCCGAGTTCATTCAATCAGTCAAGTCCAAAAGCCTAGCAGGCACGGCAACATTTAGAGACTTAAGTTCACAGCAATTTCTTTTAAGGGTAAAAAAGGGCTGTTTTAAAATGGTATGTGTGAAGATCACACATCATTAGTATAGTCAACTCTCTAGTATCTTCATGACTAGAGAAGTGGAATGAAGAACACAAAATAAAACCACAACTCTTTACGATGACTTTAGAATATAAGCAGACACAAGAACATTTTCTTCCCAAACTGAACACGCGGGTTGCTCTCTAAGACACAGTCCTGGGCAGTCTTCTCTCTCTCAGTACCCTCTCTGAAGGCTGAATCTACTTCCCCAGCTTCAGTTATCAGTTCTACATGCTGATGACTCTTACAAATACATGCACATCTCCTCTTCCATTTCCAACCCCTCTTTCCAACTGCCTACTGGATGTCTCTATTTGGATGGTCCTCAGGCCCTTCAAACTCAAAATGTCATAAACTCAACATGTTAGCTTTCTCCTTTCACTGCCCCAGATTCCTGTTTCCAAAACTGGTTTATGGTAATAACATCCACTCAGACACCTGAGCTAGAAAATAGGATCATTTCATTTCTTTTTTCTCACAAGCCCCATGCAAAGAGCTGCCCACCCCCTTTGGCGTCGCCTGTCCTATTTCTCTTCTCTCTGCTCCCAGTTGCTGCTTGGTGGTCAGCTCTCACCATGACGACAAAAAAGCCACCACAGAACTCTTGAAGTCTGTGGTGTTTTCCTCTCCAAACTATATCTGAACAAAAACTAGAGTAATCTTACCTAGAAACACACGGGCTAAGTGCTTTATCCATTGTGTCTCATCGCCTGCTCCTGTCACGGACAAGCTCCCACTCCCTGAACGTCACATGTACACCCACCCTTCCATGCTGCTGTTCACACTGTTCCTGCGCTTTGCAGGCGCTGGTCCTCTTCCTGGTGATTCTCTCCCACTTTTCCAACTTTGTTTAAATTAATCTTACTATGAGCTCCTTCCCCCAATGCATAATTAACCAGCCGTCCTCTGTCCTTCCAAAGTACTTTCTCCCCCCTACAGAGAGGCACCCGGCAGACCGTGTTATAATCAGCAGAGAATTCCTGTCTCTCCCATTAGGTGGTGAAGTAGTGAGATCTTGGACTGATTCTTGCTTCTTTGTCTACCGTCAGCACCAGGTGCACAGCTGCGTTCTGCACATGTTTGTGCACCTGTCACCCCGGCCACCCCTCCCAGGCAGGCCTGCCCAGCCCCACATCGTTTAGTCATCCACTGCTGCCCCTCAGGGAGTGTCTAAGCCTGAGCAGATTCTCTTCTAGGCAACCCTGGTCACTTCTTCCTTTTCTTGGAACACCTACCTCCTCTACAAATCTTTTCCAACCACCTGAAGGACAGTGGGTAATTTCCTTCCTATTTTACCCTCCTGAAACACCAATTTCCTAATCCCTTCATTTACCACATTTGACACAATAAACATACTTTATTTTACATAAAGGTAGACAACAAATCCAGATCATGGATGCAGCCCTCTCTCAACTGACATGATAACGTCAAGAAGGGGCTTTTGGACCCAGGCGAGCTTCCGAGTGAGCGACCCTCCAGTCTTCGGACGCCTCGTGTGCTCCTGTAGGTTAATCATCAGGTTGTGAAGATGGTAACAGTGTTTACTGCTACAGCTTTCAGACTTCTGTACACGTAGCAAAGGTCACATCTGTTTTTCTGTGCTGAGGTTGTCTACTACCGTCTGATCGACCCGCGTCTCCCACGTAGGAAGAGCAGGGGGTTAACGGGAGCAAAGGCCTTTCTCACCAATGGACCTTAAAAAAAGGAACCACTTTATAGTTCCTTCCCCTTTCCACCAACACTACTACAAAGACTGATTAAATTTAAAGTAAAAGGAAGTAGTGACATTGCTTTCCACCCAATTCAAAAAGGAAGATAGAAGTTTCTGAGAAAATGGGCTGAGACTAACAGTGTTACCTACCACACGAGAGGTAGTTCTCACTCAGGACGAAACATGTCACAAGTCAATAGTGACTGTCAAATTTCATTTCCCCATAGAAAGACCATAACGATGGACACTTCCAACAAGTAGCCTAATAACATACATTTTGTAGAAATGACCACTTAACCTTAATTCAATAAAAACGTATTTGTTGGGCACCTTTGCTAGAGGCCTATTGATAATATACTATTACAGCACATGGTACATGTTAACAAAATAGTATCTAACAATTTATTTTTTAGGTCAAAATCCACATCCAAGCATAGTCATCTCCAGCATCTCTCCTCTGAATCAGCACACTCGACTGAAGTCCTTTCTAAGGCCAATTAGGTGAAGCAATGAAGTACCTAGCCTACATAGAGACCTTTTTTTTTTTTCAACTAAATTAAGTATTAGAATATCAAGTTTCAATTTCATCCTTGTTTACCCTTTTTAACTATAACAAACTAGAAAGTAAAGGAACACCACTCTGGGCAAGGACTCTAGCAGGAGACTCAGGATGCTAGACGGCTATTAGGGGGCTTATCCAAGTCTTATTTTGCCCCTTTCTCCCCTTACTGGAGCCTCAACTGCAGTCGGAGGCAGTACAGAGCTGGTCTCACTGCCATGTCTGCCCTGGTGTCTGCTTGGGCTGAGGACTGGTTGCCCACAGGCACGTCCACTGCCCACACACTGACAGCCGCACGCGGGCAACTGCAACGGCACAGCCATGGCCGGACAGGAAGGAATCATGGAAAAGGCGCAGCTCTGACCTGCTTTCAGCAACACCAATAATCCAAGCTTACAACGCTGCTCATATCTCAAAAGTATTCGCCACTTAGAAAACAATGCACCACAAAAGATGCATTTAAACAGTAGCTTTATTTTAGATAACTGGCAAAAGGGGGAGGGGGAAAAAAGACAATGTGTTGAAATTAAGTGATAATAATTTAAACACAAAATGAGAAATAAATGGAATAATTTCAATAGTAAATATAACTTGATTTATAAAAATTTTACTTAAAAAAATCTACTTAGTAAATTGATTATCCAGCTGCTACCAGAAATTCTTTTTGTAGTAAGATGGGACTTGATAAATAAAACATGGTCAATTTTAGACACAAAAAAGCAGACGCACATCCTAAAATGTCATCATATAAAATTTAAATGTAATTTAGCTACTAAATTAAATACCATAAATAAGTACCCTCTTCTCATCTGGAAAAAGTCAGTTGAAGAAGGAAATCATTAAAAATGATACATATATACTTGAAACATTTTATTTTTAACTCAAAACAAATATATGTACATTAATTCGCTCATTTCGGATGCAGGACCATGGCTTTTTCTTTTTTAAAATAATTAGCTGATTGGAGTTCTTAAGAAAATCACAACCAAATGCACTGACCACTTATAGTTCCATTTCTTTAAAGACCAGGGACCTGTGAAATGGCATCAGTACGGAATCCTAGATGCTGACTGTCTCCTGAGTATTTTATAGTTGCCTTCCCCACCCCCAGTTTAGAAAGAAAAAAGCATAAAGCAATTTGTCTTTTCCTGAATCTTTCGACAACATTTAACTTTGGTCACAGAAAAACAATTCTCTTCCCTCATTCATATTTCATTGGTGTATGTAATAGTCTGATGAATGTCCACAATTATAGTAACAAGTACACTGGCCTAAACAGGTTTGAGAACAAATACAGCTGCCTCCTGGTGAGCATACCATTCAAATGGCAAAAAGTAGGCCAGCTAGAGCGAGGAGCCTACTGCCAGCCGTGGGGCAGGGGTCACCTGCTGGGGGCATCAGCGTGGAGACATCAGTGAATCTCTGAAGTCAAAGTTTCTGCTGGCGTTTCCTGCAACTATCCATTAACCTGCTCTCCTGGTTATTTTTATCAATGTACGTATAAGCGGTGGAGAGGGCAACCGTGTCAGTGTTTCTGACTGGGATGGAGCTACAATGATGAACAATGGGTCTGTTTTACAGAATAATGATTGCTTTTATTGCTTTTATTCATAGAAGGATGTCAATGACTCTTACTAAATTATAAAGACACTTACGTAATTCATTCAGCTTTGTTTGAGTATGCTGTGTGAAACACCAAGGCTGAGTACTACTCTGTCCCATAATTAAACATCATACTCTGTAAGCTTCCAGAGAGCAGTCATCTTCTACTGTTCAATATTTAGAACAACTTTGTGCTAAGTCTGCTAATACATGCTTTCTACTGATAAAGTAATCTTTCTTCTCTGGCCTTCAAACGTCCTTCCAACACCTTGGCCTCTCAGTTCTTTCAACGACTCACCTTAACCCCTCCCTCCCATGAGACCTAGTGTGGTCTCTGCCATTACCAACAACCACACCCCTCCTTAGTCACCACCTCACACAACCCACTCTTGGACTCCTCCTCCTCTCCTTCCAGGTTCCTCTCTCTCACGCCTCCACTCCTGGAATCCTTCAGCCCCCCGAGCACCCACAATCTGTTATCCTACCTCCTTTTCTCTGTCCTTCATCCTTATGATGTCTGTCTGCCTTCCTTGCCCAACTTAAATTCTGTGGTCAATCATTATAATCACTCCCTTGCTTTCACCCTCAATTCCCCTGTCCCACTATCGCTTCTCCACACTCACTTGCTGAGATTACAACCCTGGTGAAATGGAGTTCTCTGCCTCACCTACCTCTGCACCCACACGGCCAGAGAAAACCACTCTGCCACGGTGCCGATCTCACTCTCAATCCACACGCCTCGGCAATCTTCTTATTCCCCTAGTCCACTCACTTTCCATCTCTCTCAGGTGCCATTCCAACCATGCCCCTTTTCCTTCAAACTTTCTGTATGTCCCCGCTCAGGCTCAGCTGATGGATGATCTTGTTTCC